GGGGGGAGAGGGCTAACTTCTCTCTACACCATCTCCTCCATCCTCCCCTCCTACCCTCCCCTCTCCTTTCCTACTCTCCAAGATCTTCACCCTCTATTCTTCAAGAATTCTCTTTAGGATATAGCATTCAACTTCTATTCAGCTCGCATGTGATTCTAGACTCTTGGAAACTTAATAAATAAAATTTAACAAACCCTCTAACATCATTATAGCAAGAAGCATCTAATAAACGATGGAATGGATATCACAAAAGAGGATCATACAGGCAAGCATGTTGAGATGGGTGTTGTTGTTGACGATTCTTGTTAGATGAAAATGCATTCAATAGGGTAGGAATTTCAAGTGAGATCAAGAAATTTTTTAAGGTGAAACACCAATGAGGATCACATTAGAACTATCCTTATGCAAGTGGTTGGATAATCTTCATCATAAATAAAAAAGTTATAATTCCCAAACTAGCTCTCTAACCATCCGTGAATGGTATATGTTACTTTTTTCTATATGGTGTTATGATAAAATCCTTACTCCCGAAACACCCAATATACTTGATAAAGAGATTCTAAGACATAGCTTTTATAATTTTTATTGTCGTGATCGTCCTGTGCCTTTTTGGCAACATGATAAACCTCTTTGGGAGGTACTCCAAAACTCATTAAATGGGTGTCTGTTGAGTTTCCCCAAACCTTCATCATCTTTTGTGATGCCTCTAGTGGGCTCCCCGATTGCTCTATACAAGCTATGCGTCGCTGGCCTTTGTTTAATTAGTAAACAAAGGTTTTTTTTCATAGTCTGTAATTTGTTGCTGGGTATGTTTTTTGTCCACATTTTTTTTTGGTCAATGAAAAAACTTTTTATTCATTTACCAAAATGTGAAAAAATATGTACAACAGATAATCAACTCAAAAGAGCTAAAAAATCAAAAAATAGGATCAAACAAACAGCTATATACAGGAGAGATTCAAAGAGAAATTAACCACTGCTTGTTGTCCTCTGAGAATGAACCATTGAGAATAGCAATCAATATTGCCTCCTTAACATCCCTGGTAACCTGATCAACATTTCTGGATTTCAGGTTGAAAATTCTATTGTTTCTTTCTTTCCAAATGCAGTAGATAGAAGCTGCCAATGCCAATCTTTTCACACTTTGCTTGAAGCCTCTTCCCCTTAGACTATTGTTAAACCAAGCCAAAATGATATCCCAATTACAAGCCTTCCATCTGAATTGAAGCCAATCCAAGATGTTATTCCATACACCACATGAGAAGTAACATTCAAAGAAAAGATGGCTACAAGATTCCTGAGCTGAAGAGCATAAGCAACATTGTGCAGATTGAATAATGCCTCTCCTAAGTAGTATATCTTTGGTTTGCAATCTGTTAAGAACAGCTAGCCAAAGGATAAAACTATGCTTAGGGTAGTTCTTTGAATCCCAAACTGTCATAAACCAGGGCATTTTGTTGGATACAGGGGAGATGGATGAGTATAGCTTGGATAACTGAATTTTAGAATTCTTGCAACATGAGCTAATGCACTGTTTTAGATTTTCAATTCCTCCACAAATAATGATTGCTTTATCCCTGATCTTGAGCATCTGCTTCCACATCCAAGAATCACTTGATTTCATGCTAACTTGCCAAATTGTAGAATTTTTCAAATAATTGGCATGAATCCATTTAATCCATAGCCACTCTTTGTTAATATGAATATACCATATTAACTTTAGTCCAGAGGCAATATTCCATGTAGTTGTAGAAAAAATGTCTAAGCCTCCATACTTTTTCTCCCTACAAATTTTGTCCCAGGCAACAAGGGGTTTCTTGAAAACCTGATCAGATTTTCCCCAAAGGAAATCCCTGCATAAGACATCAATTTTCTGGAGAACCTTTGCTGGCAATATGTAGTTAGAGGTCCAGTATAGTTGGATACCCAAAATTACACTCTTGATGACTTGGAGCCTCCCTGCATATGACAATTTCGGGAACTTCAACCAAGCCTGAAACTGACTTGTAATTTTTTTAAAAAGTGGGGAGCAATCAATATATGATAGTCTCTTGCATATCAAAGGAATTCCAAGATATTTTATTGGCAGAGACCCTTCCTGAAAACCCAAGCAACTATTAATGGAGGTCTTAATATGCTCATCAACACCTCCAAAAAAAATAGCACATTTAGAGGGGTTGGCTTCCAAACCAGATATGGCACCAAAATCTCTAACACAGTGATAAAGCTTTTGAACTGAATATAAATCTCCTCTACAGAACAGAAGTAGATCATCAGCAAATGCAAGATGTGTAATTTTAAGCTTCCCACATTTAGGGTGAAATTTGAAATCCCTATCTTGCTTCAACCTGTTCAGATTCCTGGTAAGATACTCCAATCCAATAATAAACAGATAAGGAGAGATAGGATCACCTTGCCTCAATCCTCTAGCACCCTTGAAATATCCATGAAGGAATCCATTCAGGGAAACTGAAAATTTAGGTGTAGAAATGCATGCCATAGTCCATTTAATAAACATTTCAGAGAACCCCAGACCTTGAAGCATTTTTTCCAGGAATGTCCAACTGATGGAGTCAAAAGCCTTCCGTATATCAATGTTGAGCATTGCCCTTGGGGATATGTGTTTTCTACCATAGTTCTTCACCAACTCATGTGCTAACAGAATATTATTTGAAATTTGTCTTCCCTTAACAAAAGCACATTGAGATTCACTGATTATTGAACCAATGACTGTTTGCAATCTGTTAGCCAGAATTTTTGAAATGAATTTATATAAGCAGTTA